GATTCTCTCCGAAAACAGCCAAGCTCCTGGAGGCGAGCCGTGGGCGGAGCAGAAGAGTCGCGAGCACTTACACTTACTAACAATCACAGACATTTGATGCAATTTTACAGCAGTTCTTATATGACCGGGATCTTTTATTGCTGGGGCTTCTCCATCTTTCAGTACCAAACGATGTGCAAATCCAGTGTCAGAATGTACCTTGTTATAAAACATTTGTCACCGAAATGATGAAACAAACAAACACACTTGAGAAACTCCGTTGCTGCCTTGGAAAAACAAATTGCATCCACTGTTCACATAACACTGAATAAGGTTATCTTTTCCTCACATCCAAAAAAAACCCACACTCTTTAGAGATATTATCTAGTTCGACTTCATGTGGCACCGCATAAATCGACTGTCGCCTGTCAAAAACAATGCATTCTGGTTACACTAAAAATTATTTTGTCCAACTTTGATCGGTGCTGCAGCCGCCTTACGATCACATGTGCATTCAAAGTACCACGAGAGCAAAACGGGACCAGCCGCCTAGGTCAGGCACTGCAAAAGCATTGATGACGACACACTTTATTCTCATTGGTTAAATTCTGTGATGACAAGCACGATGTGTGTTGCATGCTTATTCTAACAATTCAATTCCAATGTTGCTCACAAATCTATGTTTTTATAACAGTAAAAGCCTTTTTAGGTAGTCGCACTGTTATATTGAGTCACGTTTCAAAAAACACTGATGAAAGCATATACACCCCCACTTTATTAAATTGAATTGAATTGAATGTATGCAAACACACTTGACGTCTCCGCTTTAATTCCGCCCTGACTGCAAGCGGCTACTCTCTTCAGCTGGAGGCAGGCTAGTATAGTTCCTCTCGAACAACCAGTCTTCTCGAGCAAGTAACTGCGGCACTGCCGAAGACTTCCGTAACCATGAAAGAAACGCGTTAAGAGAGCTCTTGCTCTGGCTTGGGTCGCTGAGTGCGTGCACGCACATAAGAATCCAACTCTTAACAGTGTAAATAACTCAGAATGCATGAAATGACATTAGACCCCCCGTTAAGCGCAGCATATTGCAACGACAGCGTGTTGCCAGTGACAACAGATAAGTACCGCACATGCATGAACTAGCACAAGCATTTAACTGAAAACAACTTAATGAGCCCAAGCAACAC